AAAATGTAAAATATAAAACATAACCTCTTTATGGGGCAGTGTACTGATTTTTGTATGCACAACCAATTATACAAACATCAACACACTGCCCCGTGTGCATATAAACTTTCATGTCATATACTTAGTCCGTTATTACTTGGAGGGAAGAGTTGCGATAAAAATAATCACTTACATAGAACACTATCATCCTTAATTGCGTACTTCGAAGTTTCGGAGTGAAACGCCTGTCTTATTACCTCATCAACACCTTTTTGGATAACATTACAGACGAAGCTCTCATTTCATTCATTACATTATGACTTCATGTCAAGCATGAGATAAATCTACTCCTGTCAAGACATTCATACGCTAATTACATTCAATCCCACCCACAGAAATATTGTTCAAATTTAAAGGAAGGTAGGTATTTTTCAGGAAAAATTAGTTTTTGGGAAAAAAGCTTTTCTCCATCTTTATACAAAAAATGTGAGAAAATTCATATATAACGTTGTTCATGTGTGGCATGATCTAGACATCTGTTCAAAATCTATTCTACTGTTAACAAACTATAGCCCCATTACGAACAACCACCCTCAGAAGTCGAGCTAAGGATTATTGGAATCTTACCTTACTAGACAGACGTCAAGTACACTAAAATGTAGTCGATAACTTGAACTCATGAATTTATCAACTTGTCATAAAACTTTGTAAAGATTTGGTTGTTGCATATGTATTGTTTTGGACTCTTTTGGATGAATTTGAATTAGCCATGGCGAGTTAAAATTTTACATTTTATAGGTAGATATATGAAAAACAATTTTAAAGAAAAGTAAACAATATGTCTCAACAGAGTTTTATATCCCAAAAGCAAAATTTATTCAAATGATAGACAGAAATGATGATGAAAATGAATAAACATCATTTCCTTTCAAACAGATATTGAAACAACCGTTATCACTCATATTTTATCAGATAACAAAATATTTCTGGTAATCTTAGATTTACTCACCTAGAAGGCATGATAGATATGATACACAATTTTGATGATTTAATTATTAATAATGGATTGTTGTTAAACAATTCAAACCACCTATTCACTGGAATTAGGTACATTTCACTTTTAAATTGAAAAAGTAGGCAAATTAATGTCTGAATGTTTGACAAATACTCAATGAAATTGGTAAACAATTCAGAGCAGATACAATTCCCACCTACCAGAACATCCATCTATCACTAGATTTATGTATAATTCTCGGAAGAAGGGTTCAACAGCATATCAAGCATGCTTTGCTCCTCAACCGTTCTGGACTTAATTTTGCTGTTTTTTTTTATTCTTCAAATATGATTTGTTGATGAATGGATATGCAAATAATAAACATTCGCGAACGAACAACAAGTAACTATTATGAGACCATTCATCATGTCCATTGAATTTCAAATTCGAGAACTTTAAATCTACCGTCTCAACTCCGTTTGTTTGGTTAGAAAATAAACACAGCTGAACTTAACCTCTCTTAACCTTTCGGAAACTTACATTTCATCGACTTGGAGCCTCGCCTGATGGATGATCAACAGAACTTCACTTGGTTTTCACGTTTTCACAGGGGGAACTGTCACAAAATTGCACAAAACACGCGTAATGAATCGAATACAAGTGGAAAACGATACAAACGACTCAAAAGCCCACTGATGAATGAACCCGAGCGCCGAGAGAGGGGGTAAGATGAACGTGGTTCGACAGAGAGGGATTCGGTTGGGGATCTAACTTTAGATTTCGCTCGGAATATTATCACGCGAAGATGTGTTATTATTGCCCTTTTTATTACCGTTTGATAAATAACACAACGTCACTAGGTTTATCAATGTGCATGGTCTGCTGCAAATTATTTGGAAAAAGTTCGTCAATTACATCAAATAATGGTAATAAAATGATTTTTTGAGCACACAACAAACATAATAAGTATTTGTTTTCAGGTTTTTTCTTGGAGTTTGTAGGTACATATATGAAAGAAAATTCTGTGAATACTCTACACATCTTTAGAAAGGGTTTTTATTGTAGGTAGTTACTTTCTTCTAAATTTTGGAAATATGAAATACTACACATCTTTTATATTTGTAAATATTTCAGATGTACGCAATTAAGATCAACCAAAAAACGATTACCTACTAATTTGTAACTATCCTTCGATAGCCGATAAGTAAGCGCCGCCAGTTCTATTGAAATACACAGAGGTCCACACCGCACCGAAAAGAGGTAGAACGATCTTAAAATAACATATCTACATTCTACATTTATGATATATTTGACTTAACATATTGTTAGAAATATCGGCTTCAATGAACTACACTTTCATTCCGAATTTAAAATTTCTTACAATAATTTCATTGTCACCCAGTGTATTGATTAATTGTTATTCATTACATGAATATGGCGGTAAATCCTACCTATTAAAGAAATGAAAACAATAATATCAACATCAAATGATTCCTTCCAGGAATTAGATAAAAGATAAGATGGCTATAAATAGCGTTCCATTCATGAACTTGTTTTATTATAAAACTATTACTAATTTATGATTTAAGGTGTATATACTTCATAAATGAAGATAGGTTAGATTAGATTGGTTGTGGTCACCACATTTGTTATATATCAAACTTTTACTTCAATAAGGTGTGATGTATGAACGCTTCCATTTATTTACATTGTGAAAACTGTCTTGAAGTAAAAGATAAAATAAAACAGAAAGTTTTACCGCCATTACCGATTATATATTACTTAGAAATGTGTTCTAACTTATATTTACTTATATGTTAATATTAGAAATTACTTCCGCGGTTTACACCGCGGATAACTACTTATAAAAAAAATAATACAAATGCATCAAACGGATGGAAGAACAAGAGGTGCCTACCTACCAGACACAAATCAACGAGTTTTCATTGCTCATCTGTAGTAGAATTCGCCATTTTTGCCACAAGTTTTTGCATGCAGCAATAAAAAGGCAAAAAAGAAACAAAATTTGAAAGAAACATAGCTTTACGACACTAAAGACTCGATATTTTACTGTTGCCGACAGTTGTGTTCGTTGGCGGAAGCAGTATTTTTCATTCAACTCTAGAATGTAAGTATACACACCAAGTTTTCCCACAATATCGTAAAGGAAAAAGCACTAATAAAGTGGGTGGCATTAATACACTTGGAACATTACTACTGCATATTGCAAGTAATCTTAAAAACTATGTTTCTTCATCTCTTGACGACTCCAACTTGGTTGGTGAGACGCGCTACAAGAATAGTATTGCAGTTCTAGTGTTTGGGAAAAGTGCCTGTTTTGGATTCATTCTACGCCAGTGTTTTTAGTTTCACCTTTAAATACAAACTATATTTTTCATATTTATTTGGATATTTTAATAAAGTTTTTGAAACATGAGTCAGATCTTTTGTTAAAAAGTTGATATTTACACTTCCAGTTTACACTTCCAGCACTTAGGCCACATGCGACCCATTGTACATCCTCCCGAGGAGTTGTCCTCCTAGGTCATCGTCCATCCTGTCCTTTCCAGGAAGGTGGACAGGTCACTGGGAGACATCTCCTTTATATCGGCAGGTGTAGGCCAAGACTGGCCGAACACACACTCTTTTATTGACGATAACTCCGGGCACTCGCACAGGACATGCCTGACAGTCTCATCTTCTTGTTCACACATCCTGCATAGAGGTGTGTCCACCAGCCCCATATTATGAAGGTGTTTCCTTAGTTGACAGTGGCCAGTCAGAAATCCTACTGTTAGGCGTAGATTTTTCCTGATCATCCCCAGATATTTCTTCGGCGCCAGCTTCCCAGTGTCGCCCAAGGTGATCCTGGCAAGATTACATCCTTTGATTCCATCCCATCTCTTTAAGGATTGAGCATGGGTGTAACATTTGACTAGTTCCGCAATTTGTGAAGTCATCAGGCCGTAGATGCCACTGGGTCCTAAAATTCTTAGTCCAGCCGCTTCCTTAGATGAAGAGTCGGCAATGCGATTACCTTTACTCCTGTCATGCCCTTTAACCCACCTTAGGATAATGTTATTATCTACCGAGGCGTTGGCTAATTCTTGGTGACACTCCAGTACTAGCCCCGAGGTTATACGTTGTTTGTTCAAAAGTAATAGGGCTTGTCTGCTGTCAGTGCAGATTGTTATGTTTGCCAGAAATTTCTTTCTGGGTTATTTCTTTTGTGGTTATTGAGATACCAGCCAGTTCTGTTTGGACCACGCTGGTATTTATTTCCATTCCCCTCTTAATTCTTAGGCTTAGTGATCTGCCTGAGCCTTACAATGTAGGGCTTAAAATACTATGCTTGAAATAGCAGTTTGTGCTATCTTCCATTGAAAGTGTTGAATTATAAACATTCTATTTATTGACATGACATATACTCCTGAAATTAGTCTTGAAAATAGTGACCGTTGCAACGGGAATAAGTTGACATTCAACGGGAATAAGTTGAATGCATGATGCTCACGTTATACTTTCATCTTTCGTCAGTATTTGAATGATATCTTTCCTAGTCGAAGAATTATTCAAAGAATACCAACGGAGTGAACCGCTAGGTCACCTGATTCAGCTCCGTTATATTTTTTGTATGTGGGGTCACTCAAAGACTATAATTCATAAAACTCATACAGAAACTATAGATGATTAACATCAAGTTTCGACTTCTGAGGGTTATCGTTCGTAGGGGTGCGACAGTTGGTTAACGGAAAAACATATTTTAAATCTGTCACTTAACAAAGCTGTCATATCTCTTCTACTCTATACCTTCAAATCGAGCAGGGTGGTAAAGTGAAGGCATGTGAATTCTATTTTGTTATAGGAGTACTTTTGATTGTTCAAGAATTTCGTTTTCTTTTGTTGAAGGAATAGTTTTTGTGTTGTTATGTATTGTGTAAGTAAATTATACGACTGTGCGTTCAATATGATAACTTTAATACACCTGTAAAAATTTATTCAGCCTTCAAATGTATATTGAAACTCCTTTAGTCAATAAATTATATATTTTACATCGAAAATATATTTGGAAAAACAATAAAAGTCTATTCTTACTTACAGAATCGGATAATCATAGCATAGCAAGCATGATTTGAAAAACGAAAGGAATGAACGTGACTTTCATTTAATATAAAAGTGACAAAAACAAAACAGTCTGGACATTTTATAAAATTGCGTACTGTTCATATAAAAGTTCCTTAACCCTATAATAATCTTCTGATATACAACCTTCCAGCATTATTTTGCCAGGATCCACCTGAAAACAAAACAGGCAATATTTATGAAAAAATAAAGATAAAAAAATTATAATGCCATGGAACATTACTATGGCAATGAGGCTTTTTCTAAATTTCAAATTTATATGCTATCGTACGCATCATATGTCAAGTATGCGGTATATTCTGAAAATAACGAAAAATTTTGAATTTCACGGGTTTGAAGAGTCTGTTATCATTTTTTTTGTTATGATGGTATATGTGCCCATGAAGTGTGATCGAATTTGCAGCTGTATTCATTGTTTACTTTATCCCTGGCAGTCAGGGATAAAGTGGTTTTACAGGATTCTAGGAGCTCATCGGTTTTCGTTAAGTAAAACAAAGTGATCAAAGAATTTGTATCGAATTTTGAGTAAAAAATGAAATGACATATCAAAAAGTGTGTGAAGGTTAAAAAGGTATATGATGAGTCTGCTGGCAGTGCAACAAGAGTTTATGAGAGGCTCAATATCGGTAGATTATTCTATTAGTTTATTATTATTACTATTTACTATTTATTAGTTCTTTGTAATAAAAAAAAAAAACCTTTTCAGGTGAAGAACATGTCAATTACAGTAAACATTACAGAAGTAGTAAAAAATCATGAGGCAATATCATTAATATTGGTTGAGAATATATGAATGAACAGATGTATGAATAACAAGGTTATTAATGTAATATTGTTATATTAGATACAGAACATGAACATATACATCTATATGTAGGGTTCAAAAGAGACTAAACTACATCACAATGCAGAAAATACAACATGAAATATTCAACGCGAACAACATCAGTTTAAAAATTATCATTGAAGAATTCTTCCAGCGAATAATAAGCTTTGGAGAGAAGCAAAGTTTTCAATTCATTCTTCATGATCATAGAAGACAAAGTTTTGAGAGATTCAGGTATCTTGTTATAAATATTAATGATTGAAAAAGGTATATTTTTTTGAAGATAGGTCAAATGTGTCTATATTCAAAAGGTTATTTTTGTTTCGTGTGTTGTGGGTATGGTCCCTATCATGAGTCGCAAAAAGAGAAATATTTTCTTCGACAAATACCACAGATTCATAAATATAGAGACCTGTTAGTGTTAATATTTTTTATCTACGAATATTTTTTACAGCTTTCTCTCTGAGAAAGATTGAATAACTTCCTGAGACACCGTTTTTGCAATATGAATATTTTTTGTGTATGTGCAGACATTCCCCAGAACATAATGCCATATTTGATGTGACTCTGAATATAACCATTATATGCTAACATTGCAGTCTCAGTGGTTATATTTTGTGTAATTATTTTCAGGGCATAGCACAGTACCTTGACATTTGTGTTGCCTCTTTATCTATGTGACTCTTCCAGTCCAACTTTGAGTCAATTATAAAGATGGCTTCGAGAACTTTGAAGATGACAAACACTCCGAAAGCCCAAGCACATCAACAACCGATGAAAACGTGGAGAATTGAGAGAAATTATCGCCGAATAACAATCAGGGGTGTCTCTGAAGATGTTGGCATATCGATTGTCTCATGTCATGAATTTTTTTCGAATATTTAGTGTATGAAACACGTGACAGCAAAATTTGCTCCAGAATTGTTGAAATTTGAACAGGGGTCACTAAATGAAGTCGATGACGATGCAGAATAACTGAAACCTGTAGTAACAGGTGACAAAATATGGGTTTATGGATATGACATCGGAATTAGGGTTCAATCGTCCCAGTGGAGGCATTCGGACTCACCAAGACAAAATTAGGCTCGACAAGCGTGATTGGATGTGAAGGTTGCCACAAGGTCAAACGGTCAATAGGGAGTACTACCTACAAGTTCAAAAATTTTTGCGTGAAGCAATCCAAAAAACGATTCAACAGTTTAATATTTTTTGCCATTTACGTGTTTGGGAAAACCTCCGTATTCTGCAGATCTTCATGCATGAACCTAACTGCCAAATGAACTAAGAGTGAAATATAATAGATGACTCGACGGGTTTCAGCCCGTTGAGGGCTGAATCCACAGTTTCTTATCTGGTAGAAGCCATATAGTAAAAATAGGAGGCTGTGTATCATCCACAATTCCTGTTCCTTTGGGTGTTCCTCAGGGTTCCCACTGTGGACCTTTGCTATTCAACCTATTTATTAATGATCTAGCTACAATTATAAAACATAGTGAGGTACTGATTTTCGCTGATGACTACAAACTACAAACGATGTCTCTCTTACAAGAAGATTTGTCACAATTTTATGTATGGTGTGTTATGAATCAAATGAATTTGAATATATCCAAATGTTTCTGCCAAACATTTTCTAGAGTAATTCACCCTGTTCTACATGACTACAGTATCAATAATATACCAATTATTAGGAAATCAGTGATAAAGGACTTAGGAATTATGTTCGATCGTGAATTGAACTTCAAATCTCATAATGAGTATATTACAGCTAAATCACTCAAGATGTTGGGCTTCATCAATAGATCATGTAAGGAATTCAGTTTGAACACTCTCAAGTTATTATATTGTTCATTAGTTAGATCATTATTGGAGTGGAATTGGCCGCGGTGGTAGTGCGTCCGACTCACGATCGGAAGGTCGTGTGTTCGATTCCCGCTTCGACCAGATATTTTTCTCGAGAGAATTTATCTGGTTGAAGCTGGAATGATTCTGCAACCGTGTTAGGAATCACACGTTAAAAGGTAAGACCTCGTTAGTCCTTAGCTCGCACAAGTTTCTCAACTTCTGAGAGTTGACGTTCGTATTAGGGCGACAGTTGATTAACGGAAAAACAGATTTTAAACAGATTTTTTTTTAAACAGTACGCTTCAATAATTTGGTGCCCATATTATGAAATACACATAAACCAAATTGAAGCTGTACAAAACACTTTCCTGAGGATCTGTGCATACAAGTTAGGTCCAAAAAGGGAAGAATATGCATACAACAACATTAGAGATCAGATTATTCTATTATCTTTAAAGAATAGAAGAATTATTTTAGATGTATATTTTTTAAGCAAAATTTTAACTGGCAAAATTAACTGTGAGGAGATTTTATCTTTAATTAATTTGAATGTCAACAGACAAACCAGAGCCAGTACCGAAACATTTAAAATACCGTTCCACTCCACACATTATGGTTTTTTATCTCCTGTCACTCAAATGCTCAGAAATGAAAATATGTAACAACAGGTTGATATATTTAGCAGCTCCACAAATACCATCAAAATTGAACTGAGTCACATTATTTCCTGAAACATTTCCTTTGAATATTCTATACTATTTCATCATTATATTTCGAATATGCACATGTTATTTATTCAAGTTGTCGTAATCCTGCATTGAAAACATCTCCAAACAGCTGAAACATCTACACAAAGGAGTATTACCAAAATGCGTCAACCTCAGAACATACTACACAATCCCTCAAATGCACTGCTTTATAGAACTACAAAAGTGATACCTATAAAGAAGAGACCTGGGAAACTGCTTTGCCAAAAATTAAATTAACTTGGAGACCCTACAGGCATTATGTAGTGAAAGAGCTGAAGGACAACCATCCAAATTCAAATATCCATAAAAAAATATTTGGGAAAACATCAGAAATATAATGTACCTCAAATCTATTATGTAAGCATATGTGAAAATAACTGCAAAAATTAAAAAAAATTACACTGGCTGAAGGACTTCGGTCGATGGCCCTTTGGTATTCACCAATAAATGACGTTTATTATTATTCATTTATTTTTTGCCATTTACGTAATTGAGGAAACCTCCATACTCTGCAGGTCTTCATGCATGAACCTAACTGCCAAATTAACTAAGAATGAAAAATAATAAATGACTACAAACGGAGCTTGGGTTTCATTAGAAGAAACTAACTGTACTGACTAAACACAGCCAACACGACTGCTCAAGTAACAGTGAAAATTTTACTTAATCAAACCGAAAAAGACAGAGTTTGTTTGCCTGTGTGAAAACCGTTGAGGGCTGAAACCCATTGACTAATAATGAAAAATTACATTTTTTACAACTCCATTTGTTCAGTGTACAGACTATTATAACACTCAGCCATGACCCAATCCTAGTACAATATTAAATGAAAGTAGAGAAAATAAATGTATACCCTTCGTATCGCAATAGTTCCATTCGAACACCACAAAACTCCTCCAGAAAATTCTGAACTGATATTACTCCTTGCTAAAATCTGTTTAAATTCTGCCAATTTCAGTTCATTTATGAATACGGGTTCATGATTATCTTCTTCGGAGGCTGGCTCTAAAGTGAGTATCCTCATGTCATCGTCGTCAACTGGAAGGAAAACATTCGTAGAATAAAATAATTTTGAAACCAATCTGAATGAAGACATGTCAAATTCTTTACAAAACCGCGACACCTGTTTCATTATACGATAATTTACTCAAGCGTGTTCATGCTCATTCATGAGAAACCTATTGTATATCAAAACACGTGTTGTGATTTTGTGAATTGTTCAGTGAAAATTTCACGATAAAGTGTTGCGCAAATTGTTTGAGTTCATATTCAGTACAGATCTACATCAGCTGTTATGCATAAGCACATTATCCCATAATTAAAATCAGCACAATAGGAAATGAAACAGATGAGCAGTTGATAGAACTCATTTAGTGTGTTAAGAGTTTTTTTTTCAAATATCTTTCTCATTCAAAAGCGCTAGCTAGCTGAAATGTCCCTGAAACATTAGGGGACATATCAATCAGATATTTGAATATATCTTTTTTTAAATTGAAAGGGGTATATTTTCAGGTATAAAGAGAGTAGAAAGCCAAAACATTTCCTTTCCCAATATCTCTTTTCTTTTGGTGACATAATTGATTTTTTCAGTTTTAGTTACACCTGTATCTAAATTCTACGCTAATTTAGATTAGAAGTTAGTAATGATTGATTTGTTATGTGTTTGCTGGTTTAGATTAGACTGAATTAGAAATACTTCTAAACTATATCATTATTGAGTTTACAATACATTATTTATTTAACCCATTCATTAGATAGGCTTTTTCAGTAATGACCATATCAGATAAGGAGTTTGTTTGAAGCACAGATATGTTTTCCAAGTTGGCTAGACTGAGTATTGATAATTAGTGTCAGTTGTCATAGCCAGCATGACAACTGACACTAATGACAAATGCCCAGTGTAGAACTCAGAAAAAGTAAATTTCTACAAATGAAATCCTCATCCGTAATGCTCAAGGGTACTATGAAATGCTCATCCTCCAATAAAGGTATCTGCTGTCTCAAAACAGTAGTCACCTTTATATAAGTAAATCACTAAGCTGGTTCACAGAAAAACAATCTACAATGTTTACTTACTTTCCATTGGTTCATTATCAATGTTCATTCTCTTAGCATCAGCCTGGGTCTCCCTTACGACTATTTGGGCATTAAGCCATGCTACTTCCGCGTCTTTGGCTTTTTGGAATGCTAAATGAGATACCAAGGCATCTGTAAGACGCACCTAATTTGGAAATAAAAGATATTTAGGTGGTGGACAAAAAAAATAATTCATTGAATACAAGAACTGTTCAACTACCTACATAAATAGTGATTATAGAAAATTTCAGAAAAAAAATTGAACATATTTTCTTGTTGGAAATCTGAGTGATTCAAATCATAACCTAAATACCTACAGTTATAAAAGATTATCCAATAAATATTTTTACAGCCTTTTGATACTGTTAATAAGAATTATCTTGATCATACCTGGTAGATATGAGTCTCGCTAGTCGCATCCACAATTTCTCCTTTAGCAGGAGTAAGTACCCTCGCAACTTGAACTCTTAATTGTCTGGAGTAATGTGGTGGTGCTCCACCTTGTTGGAATACAATATTAATATCGAATTCATTGGGATTCGCTTCGACGATTTCAGTGATAGAGGGTCAACAGTAGTTCCCAGCATATTCAAATACAGTTCCCCTGTTAAATTTTGATCAATAAATAGAGGTCCTACAATATGGTTTTCCAATATTCCTGCTCAAACGTTATTTTTTTCTGGATATTGAGTATGTGTTTCCCGGAAAATGTGAGGATTGGTGTCACTGCAATAACGGCAATTTTGTCTGTGAACATTGCCGTTAAAAAAAATTACATTCGTCACTAAAACAAATGTGGAGATAGGATGGATGCCTTGCAATGGCTTCCGTCATGATTTTCCAAAATTCTGTTCTTTGATCAGGGTCATTTTCAGTTAATCGGTGTACCATTTTAATTTTGTATGGATGATACCTATTCCTCTTCAAAAGTCTCCACACACTAGAAGGAGACACCTCACAAACATTTGCGACGGAATAAGTAGACTGTTCAGGATTTACTACCATCTCACCAATTATTTGCACTTGCTGTTCTTCCGGAATGAACGGATGACCTGGTGACTTTTTGTTATATACACTACCGGTAGTTGTGAATTTGGATATAAGTTCCCTCAAATATATTTTACAGACAGGACGATTCGGAAAACGTCCATTGAAAATCATTTCGGTCTCGTGAAAGTTATGTGTCGCACCGTAAAAAAAAGTCACTTCAATTTTTTCTTCCAATAGACGAGAACTGACAATTTTAGAGATTGTTGACGTGGTACCTTTCTACTAGTAAAACCGAAAACTAAATGAGAATATTCTAACTGAACAATGATGTTCATTGTCGTACTGACATTTTTTGTCGTTTTTATAAACAAAAAATAATTTAACAAAAACTTATCGGGTTGTTGGAATTGCTATATGGCAGATAAAAAGGAATACTTCTAGAAATATCAATATTAATGTGTTTGTCTTCAGGAAATTATTAAATGTTCCGCCATTTTGTAGTCGGTGAAGATATTGACTTCCCATTCTAGGGTTGTGAAGTATGCACTGTATAAGTCAGTTATGATATTCTCTGAGAGAGATATATGCCAATAAAACTAAACTATATCCATCCAACAAACAAAACAACCCAAATAATTATATATATGCATGAACAAAGCATGATCGCCACGCATATTGGCATCTATTTGGTAAAATAAACAAGCCTCCTTATGCTGGCTATTCAGATGTAACTGCAATCGGCTGGCAGAATTCTTTGTAACAGTGTCGGAGTGGTCAATTCCGTTTTAACACCTTACGTTTAAAAGTTTGAAATTTTTAAAAGGTCAAGTACCGATATGACTGAAGAAACTGCTAATTTGTTTCCCTACACTCCACCTAAAAAATTTTGCTATACCCAACCGCATATTATTGAAAAAAAATTGATAAAATTTTGGTCACTTCTTAGTGTGACTGTACAAGCAGCCTTGTCTGGGAGATGACATGCGCTATGCATGATTATGTTTTGGAGCACTCCTTTGCTTAGATGAAGACAGTATAGTTTCATTGGCAAGAATTATCTTGATCATACCTGGTAGATATGAGTCTCGCTAGTCGCATCCACAATTTCTCCTTTAGCAGGAGTAAGTACCCTCGCAACTTGAACATTCTCCTCACAGTATTTTGCAATAACTGCTGTATTCTCTGCAGTACCTCGAACAACAATCACTCGTCTTGGTTTAAGATGTGATAATATTTTCATGAGGGATTCACCATCGGACCGACCTTCAAAGTCGATATAATGCACTTGACAATTGACCTGGACAGTCCTTTGAAGAACAATGCACTTGGTTGGCATCTCCGGGATCTCAGCTGAAAATGAGTTACCAAAAATCTGAATTCATGAGAAAGTTCGGGTGAACAGAACAGTTTCTCTGTGATCCATTAAATTTCAAGAAACAATGGCATACAATGTACATCAAAATAGCTGAAAAAACTCACTTATTTCCTCTTCTTCTTTTTTAACTACCAAGTTTTCTTTATTATCTTCTCCTTCTAAAGGCACATCTGCTAATTTATAATCTTCTGGCCTGATGATCTCTCCATATTCATCAGACTTGACTTTTTCCTCGTGGAATGGGTACATCGGATACATTTTTTTTGTTACTTTGAAAAACCCTGTAGAAATTTTGCCTTCCTGTTTTATGACAATATCGTGCCTGCCTTTCGAAATGACTGACATCTCAATGTCATCATCAGAATCTGAATCACCTTCTCTGAAAATGAATGTTGAATGATTTGTCAGTTTGGCACAGACAAGCCCAATAACTTACTCTTTGGTTTCATCGTCTTCACATCTTTCTCTCTGTCGTTTCTCGTATTCTTCAAGTTCTGCTCCTTCCAACCTGACTCTCTTTTCTACTGTTAAATCTACGGTCCTCTCTCCTCCATTATCCACTAAGTCTCTAGCTAGAGTACCAGGAGATGTCCTAGAAAAAAATATTTACTAAAACAGACTGCATATAATAAGAGACTTATTACAATAACTCATGTATTCTTAGAATAATGGCTACATTTATTTATTGCACTAATGGAAAAACATCAGTTAATAATAAATAATACAGCATTAATGACATAAAATAATAACTTGAAGGTCGACCGTTACAGATTAGTCTCTGGAGTTTGAATGAGTACCAACATTATGTTCAAGAATTCAGTTTACCATCAATGATGGCCAGTAAAAAAATGTTAAAACTTCGTTTACACCCCCAAGTAAATAGATATACTAAGTAGACAATTTCGTGAGGTAATTTTTCATCAATTTACAGGGAACCAAGTAAAAACAGCAAAAAAATATGAAATTATATTTTTGGGAAAGAAAGGTTTTGGCTTTCGACTTCTTTATCTTTATACAAAAAAATGTGAGAATTTTCTAATGAAAGAAAGCAATCAATTCCAAAAAATCAACTCTATGCGAAGATCATACAGGCTGATTCACAGTGGATGGCACATTAGACGTTTCTGGTGAAACAGACACCGGATACTTTGAGAATTCAATGGAGAGCATATTCTCTACCCAACTAAAATATTTTCAACAATGCGGTGTTGTCACTTCCATTAAAAAGTAGTAGCAACTTCGATTTTCCAAATAGAACACCCTGTATATAATATTATTTTTGGAATCTACAGCAATTTTATCCGACAACTTTTCTTGATATTTCCCTATACCTATCTGTTAACGTTTTCCAAATATGAATTGATTTCAATGTTTTTTTTCGGAAATCATGACCTCTGAAAATGCAAGTTTCTTGATCCTTTAGAAGTTGATCCGAATGCATTGAAATTGTTATGAATTCATATAAATTTCTTGAGGTTCATTAGCAGTAGATTCGAATACCTTTCGTTGCACTTTCTACATATTCTGCTGATAATTTAATCACATTGCCCAAAAATAATAAACAAATTCATAGGATCTTCATTTGAATAGTTTTGTTCCATCGTTTTGGAGGTAACTGAAACATCTGAAGTGACAAAAATGTCAATATTATAAGGAGAATATCAACGTTACTGTTAAATAGTAATAATGACGTGCTTACAAAATACTGCATGGGAAAACCATTCCGAAGGGACATTTTCACAAATAAATGCTCATGATTACATGATATACCTACATAGAAAAAACGGAAATTTCAACAGCTTTTTGAATTTGTAATAATACATAAGGTGTTCCATTTGAAATAATCAACTTTCAGTCACTTTTTCAAACAAACGAAAAAACTGTATTTTTTTATCACCCTGTATTGAAGTAACTGGGATTACACTGAAGTTTGGGAATCCTCTAAGTATCACCTAACTTCAACCAATATTCAGGACCATAGTATTCCTTAACCCAAAGATATCAGCATTTTGAGAGGTCATAATTTCCGAAGAAAAAAAATTAAATTAATTCATATTTTGAAAACGGTAACAGATAGGTATAGAGGAATATCAAGAAAAGTTGTCGGGTAATTGTTGTAGTTTCCAATAATAATATTATATACAGGGTGTTTCATTTGAACAATCAAAGTTGCTCCTACTTTCTAATGGAAGTGACAACACCACATTCGAAAATATTTTAGTTGACTACAGAATGTCCGAGTATGCTCTCCATTAAATATTAAAAGTAATCCGTTGTCTGGTTCAGCCGAAAAGTCTAATGTGCCATCCACCTTGAATCAGCCTGTATAAGTATATACCTATTAATTCAGAAGGATGTTATGCATGTTAGGGTATATGAATCAATTTAATGAACTCATATAACTTTCAATATTGTCTCGCAAATGAAATACACAATAATTCCTTCACAATGTTGGGAATATTCTTGCATCTTTTACCTTGTGGTCAAAATAACACTGTTGGCAGGATTTGAACACCACTGTAGGAACAGTTCCCTGGAGTAGCCACTTTCCATATCTGCTGAACTAGCAAGCACAACCTTTGGACTGGAAACTTTGCTCAACTCTCCCTGAGTGTGACACAACTGTAAATGTTTAAACTGGAATGGATTGTTTCGAGCCCCTTCAAAACTTCTCATCAACTTATCACTCATCCACTCAATCTGCGACTTGGCAAACTCAACAACGTTATAGCTAACGTTAGTTAGTAATGCTAAAGAATATGCAAGAAGACCAGATTCTTTGTTGCGCCACAGTTGATCAAGCATATGGGCTAACTCCAATACTCGTCCAGCTGTATCAACAGCAATGAGAACATTACCATTGTTTCTCAGTGTCTGAAGAATGTTTGCTGTGAAATGATAAAATTTATTTTAAATGTCACCATTAATTCTCAAACTTACTCATCAGTTTCTCATCTCTTGCTCTTCGTCTTGCTTGCTGATAAGTGGCATTGAAGGCATCAATAATTACCAAAGAGGGTCGTTGAAGTTTTTCAAGTTCGCAACCATTCAGGTGCCTTTCCTTTTTGTGGTTGAAATCATTAGCATATATTATATCCTCTTCTCCTACCTTCATAATTTTCCAGATTGTACCTCCAATCATGTGACCTGCAGGTAAGGGGGTAACTGTAAGACCATACCCTTTTCCTGTGAAAAAAAAAATTTCAATAAAACTTTGTATAACAGCGTTAAATCTTATACCTTTCAGAGGAACAGTCTGGTTATATTTCAGCTGTATGATTTTTTCAAAGGTAGCATCTACGTCATCTAGAGAAAATATACAAAACTCCTTCATATTGTGTTGGGACTGATACAAATCATACATGAACATCTGTCCCATTTTATAAACTGGTATTGTTGAGTAGATAGGACAATTGAGACCAAGCTTTCCAACAACATAAGGTAAAGCTCCCAAGTGTGTCACATCAGGGTAAGAAAGTAATACTGCATCTATGGTATGTACATGCCTAAAAACAATAATATTTCAATAGGTTATTAAACTGCTTCAATGCAAAAAGTTTGTAACCTTTTCATTTCCTTGATAAATTCCATGTTGAATTTCTCATCCCAACCACAATCTAGCAATATTCTGACTTCATCTACTTGAAGAATATAACAAGGGGGCGATTCGTCCATAGCCCCAGAGAGAGCATGAACCTTAATAATTGAAGTCATTATTTGAAAAAATTGAGCAACCTATTCTCTAAGAATTATAAATAGTGAATGAAATATGCAGTGTCTAAATTTTGTACATATCTGATATATGTTTGTGGGAAAAATGTTTACAATTTTTTTATCAATCACAGGCAAATTAATAGGTTATGTATTAGCAGATTTCACTTTCATCTTCTTCTGTTCATTTTGTGGTGTGTCACTATAACTCTGTGTTCTATGTCACCAAAGAGTAGATCTACTACTTTTTGACGTACTCTTTGGAGTCACCTTAAGCTCTCCCCCTCTATTATATAACACATGTTGCATAAGTTTGGGGCATCGTCCCTTTAACAACCATATTGTCACCGTATAGACTTCTATACGGTGATATTGTTTACTTTTTTGTGATTATAGCCAAAGAGTTGGTGTACTCTTTGATCAGAGCGCCGAGTCAGCCCAGCAAAAGAGTAAACAGAAGTTATCCACTCGCAGCGATGCCAATACAAAATTTAATTTTCGTACTAAAGTTTAAATAAACCCGTTTTTCACAAACTACATCTGAAGATTTGATTTCAAACTGTATTTTCAAAAATATCACATGCTTCGCTACAACAGTAGCCTTTTTGTAGTGAATAACATTCAGAGTGTTATTTATGACATGACAATATGACGTCATTGGTTTAAGTCATTTTAGAAATAAAGAGGGAAATATTTATTCCAAGCATGTACAATTAAATGTGTTATCAAATGAATATATTTCATTATAGAAATGTATACAGCTTGAAATATATAAAATTAGTTTTTTCTTTAGTGTTGAAGCATTTATTTTTCTAGGATAGTTTTGAACTATTATGTAGGTATTACTCCATATATCACTTCATCTATTTCACTTAATTAAATTACATTAGCTATATACTATCCGTCTGAATGAGATTGCAGACATACTATATATGATTTATTTTAAATTTCACTCACTAGTTGTTAATAATTATGGACTACATAATTCTAGAAATTTTGAATGAACTGAGTGAGTTTTGAATATATTTTCATTTGAATCAATCTGTGTCTAAATATTTTTTTCTCATGCACCACCTAAAAATTCACAGACATCTGTCCTTTCAATGTAAAGTTTGTTCAAAATGTTTGTGTCGAAAATACATCCTGTCTAGACACGAGAAAATTCATAAAATAGTGAAATCATATCACTGCAAAGTTTGTCCAAAATCGTTTTTCAATAAAACTGTATTCTTGAGACATATTGCATAGATACTGTATTTGTTAATGTCTTGATGAACTGAGCAAAAAAATTAACATCAATATTTTTTTTTTGATGTATGATTTCAATTGATTTTTTTACTCAACTTTTTTTTAATTAATAGTTTTTTGAGTGTATTATTGACTTGTACTATGCCACTATGTATTATCTAAAAAAAAAGCAAATAAATACTATTATAGCTCGAGGTACATTGAAATTCAGTCTTTAAATTTGAAAATCATAAATCCTAAATCAGAAATGACTACACAAGTTTTTCAGAAACAGTTTTTCCTTGTACACAAAGGAAAAAATATTAGATAACAATATGAACCGTTTGGAAAACTAATTGAAATATAATACAGGTTCATCAATTTATAACAAAAATTATATTTGAGATAATATGAAACAAAAACTTGCACACAAAACTATATTTTCACACCATATTTTATGTTGTTATATTTCTTATCTATATGTAGGCTTCTGAAAACCTCTTTTTCGTAGTCAATAGTGAAGGTGTGATTTTCAATGGAAAACTCTGGTCCTCAAAAAAATATATTTGTTTGTGAAAACTTCTCTAACTCATCATTAAATTTTCTGAAACTTTCTCGTCAATTGTTTTAACCTCCAGTGGTTTGGCATTTGTACAGCATCTTCCAGAGCTCAATCAATTTTTTCATTAAAGCAATATTATATAGCCTTCATTCAACTCTTTTCCCTTCTTCCGGTAGGCTCAATAACTGTTCCTCTTTTTTATGGATTTTTTCATGTTTTGCTAACCGATGACTTTGTGTAAAAGCTTTGTTGCAGACGTGACACTTGAAAGGTGTAATTCCATTATGAGTTCTTTCATGTATATTTCGATACGATTTTTGTGAAAAACTTTTATCGCAAAATGAACACCGATATGGTTTGTCTCCGGAATGAGTTCTTTCATGATCTACTAGGTGGGCATTTTGTGAAAAAGCTTTTGGACACAGTTTACATTGAAATGGTTTCTCCCCTGAGTGAGTTCTTTCATGCCTTCTACAATGAGAGTTTCGAGTAAAACACTTGAAACATATTCTGCAGGCATACGGTTTCTCGCCATTATGAATTCTTATATGCTCTACTAGGTATACTTTCAGAGCAAAAGCTTTGGGACACATCTCACATTGGAATGGTTTGTCACTATGAGACCTTTCATGTTTTACAAGATGAGTCTTACAAGTGAAGGTTTCCGAACAGTATTTGCATTGGAACCTTTTGACATGAGTTTCTAGATGCACTTTCAACACTGAATTCTTTGAGAAAGTTTTGGAACAGGTCTTACATTCGAATAATTTTTCCCCTGTATGGTAATTCTCATGTTCTTTCAATAGGGCTTTCCTGCCAAAACTTTTCAAACAAACTTGACACTGAAATGGCCTTTCATTATTGTGAACCACAGCTACATGATTTCTCAATGTTTTGGCAATAGAAAACGTTTTTGTACAGAGATCACAAGGAATCCTTGGTCTGTTTTTTGATTCTTTGGAAGATGCTTGCATTTGTTCTTTGAACTCATTTTCTTCTTTAACCTCAACTGTTAAGTATTCTTCAGGAACATTTTCCTCGTATGATTCTTCAGTTTTTATTGTGGTAGAATAGGATAATTCCTGTTCGAAACCTGGAAAGAAAGGATAAACTTAATAAAATCTCAACTATTTCATATTCTTCAGGAACATTTTCCTCGTATGATTCTTTAAGTGTTCTCTTATAACAAAGGTAAGATTTTATTATAAAAAATAACAAGAATTTTGACTAACAAGGTTTTCTTCAAACTTCCCCTTAGTAGGCTCCCATTGCTTTGCTCTCCCCTACGCTTTCTGAATCCACCGTCGCCGCCTTGTTGAAGATATTTGAAAAAATTTGCTTGAGGCATTAATTGACGAACTTGAACGTACTGGAATCACAAGCAGTCTTGCATTACCATGAAGGGTCATACGAGAGGTTGTGATTTTATGGAAGTTCTAAAAGAATTTTTGGAAAGCACAAAACACCTGTAAAAAGTTGATTTCAGTGTGTACTGATAGTTGTCTGTCAATGGTGGGTGCAATTAATGGTTTGATTGCTTTAATGAAGAAGGAATGGAATATACCTAATTTGTTGCCTATTCATTACTTGCTGCGTCAAGACATTCTGGCATGTGAAATTTCAAAAAACAAATTGAAAGATGTAAGTATTATAAATGTTATGCGCGCCCGCTAAGTTAATCATCGAAAATTCAAAGACCTTCTTGAAGAATTAAGGTATAATTATAGCGATGTTATCTTACATACGGCCATAAGCAAGTGGGCAAACACTCTCAGAGTGCCTTTACATTAGGTCGCGCGGCTGCCGCGCGACTTGCATAATAAAAAGTGACACTCGGTTGTTGTGCGACCTAATGTGCCCGGCGCTGACACCCACATTGTCCTGTGTGCCCTTGGCCAGAAAAGTGTGACGACCACTGATCTATACCTACCCGGTTCACACTTTATGTTCAAAACCTTGCTTTCAGTTATTTTATCCTTTAACTCTGGAATTGAAGACTCTTGATTCTCTTCTATATTTACATTTCTTTGGCATTCTATCAAATCATGATTGGAGAGTTCGGTCTCAGTATCAAAATGTTTTCTACATAATTCACAGACAAATAGTTCCTCTGGCTCAGCTTTCACTAAGTCACATTTAACATTCACAGCACAATTCAATTTAGCCTTGTCGATGTGATCACAAGAATTTTCAGTTTTTATTTGGATATGTTCTGCAATATCATTCTGCAATATATTGTGAGTAAAAGGAAAAAACTGGGACTCATCCATTTTACTCAAGAGAAACCTTTTATTTTGTTTGTTCTAGAGAAAAATATTTTTTTATTCTCAATTAATAGTGCAAGATCCAACCAGTTTTCTAAATTTCTCCGAATAATGATTTATCAATGTTTCACTAATATCAATTCAATCAATTCCACAAATCATCACTTCCATGTTTTCTCTATATCTATTTAATTCTGTGTCTAGAGTTTCATGTTCCCAGTTTCCAGTGTCGCCACATTTCACTATTTCTTCTTCTTTTTTATTCCCAGCTTCCAAGTTTGGTCCTTTTATGAACAGAATTTTTTTATTACAATATTGTAGTATGTTGATGTAGATGAGTTGATGAAAATAATGCCAAAGTTGTAAACTGTTAGAAAGAGAGAGACATTTTTATCGATGAAAGTGTCAGTTTGTTCTACCTTAAATAAACGGTTAATTGTGACATATAAAAGGTAGGTATATAAGTTATGGCTTATATTTGTATAGAGCTGAATATGAATTGTGAAGTACATGTACATGTTTATTGAATGGTATTTGAAAAGTTTCAATTTGTTATAACGTGAATTTGTGAAAAAAAATGTTTCTTACAAAAAAAAACACATTGGTATGTGAAATGCAGATTTTTACCGTTTTCTTTATTTCTAATATTCCCGATGAACCATTCATTTATAAAGTTTTTGAAAATTTATCGTTTACCGCAAATTTATTCAGCGATGCCTAGAGGGCTTCTGAACTGCATTCGGGTTGACGTTCGATAGAACATGCAGAGTAGTCAGTATATTAGCCTGGCTTTCAATGTCTTAGGAAATTATGCAACAGATCTCGACTCGAGTCCTCAGAAGTAACATATTTCAACAGTGTGGAACATTAATTTTTGACTATTCAGCAGAGATTACTCTGGTTTGATTTATTTATTTTGTATTGATTTTCTTTGTGAAGTGTGTAGAAACAGTCACGGAGGTAGCTCTAGCTTGTAGGGACAAACCACCAACAGTAGAGAAAAAGACTACAACTAGATATCAAAATCTGAGGTCGGCACCAGCATTTTGGGAGTTACCTTAGTCGTGCTCTGTTTCATCACACAGGTGAAGCCCTTAATAGCATACGATTATGACGACACGACAACAGAGATATTCACAGTATCTCTTCGCTATGTCGCGGAGTGTCCGGAACCCTAGTAACGTTAAAATAATCCAGAAGGATGAATTTGCCTTGCAATATGCATGGACTTGCTCAATCGCGAGCAATTAAGCATTGCGGGATGCATAGCCCTGCTATTCCATAAGATCAATTATGGCTCGCTCCCAATGTTCAGGGTATTAACTCGAAACAACTCTATAGGGAAATTTATTATTCAAATACGGCGCCTACCAGAACTAAAACAAACGGTATAACAAAAATTGAGTACTCTCTCACAAATCGATGCGTTATCAGCAAAAAGTGTACAGTGACTGAAAACAGTCATACATACCATTCTATATTGATTTTCTCGATTTGCTTTTTAGTAATGTTCAAAATGATCACTAAAACAGTCATCTTTTGGATGATAAAATTTCATGTGTAATTTTATGTGACTCGTGAACATACAAACTCTACATAAAAACAGATTCGAGCGATAATATAAGTCTTTCCTTATCAAGGAAGGTAATAAAATTAAAAATCATTCACCTATATCATTTTATTCCCAAATGTAAACATCGAAGTGCCGACTTGACATTGTCAAATTGTGTCAACTGATGTATGTATTCAGCAACTCTATGAAGGAAATGCCGAAACTTATTAGTTCTCTTTATTATTACTTCTTTATCAAGTGTGCCATAGAAGGAGAGGTTTTGACAAAATACCTTTTGGTATAAAACATTTTGAAATATCTCTATACAGGAGCCCTGGAAACTATGATTTTTTCCATACTGAAGATGCATTGAATGATGAAATTCTTCTTCTCTTCTAAATAAACTGGTTAGTTTTTTTTAAGCTTCACATTACATTTTCGGTAACGCGACTTGTCAATCATATTCATCTTTATGGACATTAACTGGATTGGCTACACTGAATTAGTTTTTCCATTGTACCAGAAATCCATTACCTTCATTTAACTTTTTCAACTTTACTCAACCGCTTTTTCTCTTTAACGTGGCTCTTTTCATGTTTTGTTAAGTCACAAGATTGTGCAAAAGCCTTGTTGCAAATGTGACACTCATAAGGTTTAATCTCATAATGAGTTTTTTCATGCATATTCCGATTGGATTGTCGTGAAAAACATTTTTCACAAAATGTACACTGATACGGTTTTTCTCCAGTGTGTGTTCGTTCATGTTCTACCAAGTGGGAATTTCTTGAAAATGTTTTTTGACAAAGTTTACATTGGAATGGTTTGTCCCCAGAGTGAGATTTTTCATGCCTTCTGCAATGAGAATTTCGAAAAAATTTCTTGGAACATATTTTACAGGCATAGGGTTTCTCCCCACTATGTGTTCTTGTGTGCTCTATTAGGTAAATTTTTAGAGCAAAATCCTTAGAACATATTTCACATTGGAATGGTTTGTCATTATGAGATCTTTCATGTTTTACAAGCTGAGTCTTACGAGTAAAGGTCTCCAGACAGTATTTGCATTGGAACCTTTTGACATGACCTTCCAGATGTACTTTTAACACTGATTTTTTTGCAAAAGTTTTTGAACAAATTTTGCATTTGAATACATTTTCTCCTGTATGGTAATTTTCATGTTCTTTCAAGAAAGATTTTCTGCCAAAACTCTTCAAACAAATTTGACACTGAAATGGCCTTTCATTATTATGAACGACAGCTACATGACATTTCAATGATTTGGTAGCAGAAAAAGTTTTTGAACAGAGTCCACAAGGAAACCTCAGTTTGAGTTTTGGTTCTCTGGAGTCGTTTTCTTTTTTTACCTCATCTGCCAGGCGTACTTCAGGGCTATTTTCATTCTCTAATGTTTCTTTTTTTATTATAGTGCAATGGGATGATTTTTCTTCAGAACCTGATGAGAAAAAATAAACAAATGAATTAATCAAAATTGTGTGTAAAAATGAATCGACTACATAGAATGATTATTGCTATTTATAGTTTAACGTTAACAAGGGAATTGTGTTGAAGAAAATAAGTTATCCCTTGAAAAATTCAATGATTTGTACCTGGTTCACACTTTATGGCGAAAATTTTCTTTTCAGACAGTTTGTCATGTATCTCAGGTATTAGTGACATTTGCTTCTTATCTAAAATCGCATTTTCCTGATATGGAAACATATCATTCTCATGATTATAGTCTTCATTATCAGTATTGAAGTTTTTTCTAGATAAATTGTCAACACACAGTTTTTCCTCCTGCTCCTCTTTCACAATTTCACATTTAACGTTTGCATCCATATCACATTTGAAGCGTTCACTATTATAATCGGAGTGGTCCCAAAAGGATTCAGTTTTTATTTGAATATGTTTTTCATCTTTTTTTTGTGATTTAACATAAATAAAAGGATAACAATGAGAACCCTCCATGTCTCTCGATGGGTTGACAGGTGACTTCACACTTCACCTGTCAATGACAGGTGATTTAGGTGATTGGACTTGGTACTAGGAAAACACAAAATTTATTAAAGTGACATTTTGTACTGAAATTTCAACGAAATATTAAGTTTCATATGTCAATAAAATTTCTTTCAAAATCCCTCTTGTGAAAGTATTGTTGGTTGAAATAATCCATTATTTGTTACCGGTTACCGTAGGACGATCGCCGGTTTGTTTGACCGTAGTATGTATAATACTATGGTTTGACGTGGGTAGGTTGTTCCACCCTCCAATCGACCACTTTGTGAATCGGTGGTTCAAGCCGCGAGATCAGATGATCAATTTTTACTTCCTATTGCCCAACCCGTACTAGGAATCGCACGTCAAAATCCGAGACCTTTTATATTCTCAGGTCGCACAAGTTTCGACTTCTGAGGGTTGTCGTTCGTAGAGGGGGACGACAGCTGATTAACAAAAAGATCGATAACGGAGCACGGAATAGTTTGTAGAGATAAATCACATTATAAAGGAATGGCCTACAAAGTTCTTCGTTGAAATCCTCTCTTCACGATGTGATATTCACTCTGGTGTCATCAACGAACGAAGTGGAAAAATGGTGCTGTGTTAGTTTGGTTTCTACAACCTATATTATAATGAGCTTTTGATATTCAGTAAAGAGGAGCTGCTGCATATGGTTCGTATGGTTTTCAGGGCCGAAGTTACGATTAGATAAAATAAATTGCTGATTCGTACGTGGGTGAATGAGACTTGTAGTACCAAGCATTTCGTCTGCTACTGCGGCATATATCATTAGCGGTATATGCGTTGATTGGGAGAACGAAGGTCATATCTTGATGGTCATATTTTGAAGTTCTAGCTAGTACTTCGAAATATACACATCGTCCCCACATTTCTTTATTGGTAATACATTGGCCCTCGATATGCAAGCATATATATTCCAAATATATATATTTCTTTCTGATGAACTACATTAAAGGTCTACAACGAGTACAACGTCGAGTTAATAAAAATAAGTACATAAGAAGAAGAATAACCTTAAAAGTTTCCTTGTGAATCTAAACTCAAAAACTTTGTCAAACTCTTGATAGTTTTGTTTAATACTTGATATTATTTTTAATTGAAATAATCATGGTTGTAAAGCAACTGTGTTTCATGTTTAGAAATATTTCGCTCGAACATAATATTTTATGTAAACGAAACTTTTTTACAAGCACTTTCAACTGTAGAGAAACGACTGATCGAAAAGAAATGCTAAGATCTGCCCCAGCAACTGATGAAGGCGCAGTCGGTGAAAAATCGATTGATGTAGATTCTATTATTCATAAGTGAGTTAGGTTCTAGAACAATATCCAGTAATTGATATATTATCGATTGTTTCAGGAATAGTGATACCTTTCCTACCTTCGATACACCAAATAGGATATTCAATGGGATAGCTTTCAAAAATTTACCTATATTTAATATAAGAGTGTCGCCAAATAATACAATAGTTTGCTTAACTGATGCGAAAGGTAATTTTGTTTCACACTGCTCATTTTGATTTCAATTATTGAACTTTTTTTTTTCTTCGTCAATATATCCCTCCCTCTCTCCCTTCTTTCTTATTGTTGGCATATGACCTGAATATATTTAAAAAGATTAGTAATCTTGAAGTTGCTAAACTACTTCAAAAAACAATTGAATATGGTGTACTGAAAAATCTCATGTTGAATATAGGAAAATATTTTAAGTTCAGTTTTTCTCGAAACGCATCAACTATAGGTTCTTATCATGATAGTGCTATCCAAAAAGTTGATGAATCAGTTGATTTTGGTGTTACATTAGATACAAAATTGACATTCTACTCCTAATCTCAATCTTTGAAAATGCTGGATTTTGTAATCCGAAGCTTATTGGAATTTTCTGTAAGCACAATCAAACTTTTGTACTGGTCCCTTGTTAGATCTCCTCTTGAATAGGTATATCCAACTGTTTGATTGTCTTAATAATTAAATGGTTCTGAATGAATTTTTAAGGTGTGTGGCATTTAAAAAAGGGTTTAGTATAGGCATTTATCATTAAGTTGAACTCTTGTCACTAATGAATCTTCAGTCATTCGAAAAAGTGAACAGAATACCAAATAGATATCACTTAGAAATAGACATATTTGAAGTGCCTATAACAGTCTTTTAAAAATCAGATATTTAGATTAGAATTGTCTATATAGTATAATACAACAATACAGCTGGTGTGAGTTCATTAAATTAGTATAGATATTTTTGTCATGCCCTTTAACCCACCTCAGGAGGCTTTGGCTAAATCTTGGTGGCACTCTAGTGCTAGCCCTGAGGTAACACGGTGTTTGTTCAAGGCTAATAGTGCTTGTCTGCTATCAGTGCAGATTGTTATGTTTTTGCCAGAACTTCCTTTCTTGGTTATTTTTTTTTTGGCGATTGAGATACCAGCCAGTTCTGTTTGGACCACGCTGGTATTTTTTCCCATTCCCCACTCAATCCTTAGGCTTAGTGACCTGAAGTACACTCCACATCCTGAGCCTTCTTTGGTTTTTGAGCCGTCTGTATAAATCCGTATTGCATTTGTAGCATCTGACTCTGTGTTCTGCTCAATTTGTATTTTATAGGGTTTATTAAACACAAATCTGGGTTCAATTGCATCACTTGTTGCCTGCAGCAGAGGTTGCGCAGTAGGTGCTTTCCCGCCATAGGCCCAGCCTCGATTGACCCATTCCTACTTCGAGGTTAACACCAGCCGTGCGCAATCGTACCATGGCTATTAACGCAACTTCCGTAACGTACAGATCCAGAGGGGTGAGATTCGTAAATCCATTCCCTTTTTCAGTAATACTATATCGTGAGATTTTTAATGAACGATGAGGTTCTATACACATTTCAAATATGTAATTCATAGATGCTAATTCATTTCTTGATCGAGTTAGAAATGCTGACATTACTTTAAATCGATTTCAGTTTGTAGATCAAACCTGCCATTATTTCATCTCTCAATTTTATCTTACAGAAAGCACTTGAAAAAGGAATCAAAACTGTTCGAGTGCGAGTAAGAGGTTTGGGTCCTGGAAGAATGGTAAGTATGATTTTTGAAGGGAATCTCATCTTGAGTGACTGCATTGTTTTACAGGCTGCAATAAAAGGACTTCAGCTTTCTGGATTGGAGATTGTTTCAATAACTGATAGTACACACGTTTCTTGGAATCCTCCAAGAGCAAGAAAGCAAAGGAAGCTGTAATCAGCAGTATTTTCATTGGTTCAGATTTTGTAAATAAAGTATATCATCCATATTCTGGACCTTATTCAATGTATGCAGTTGTTCAAAAAATATAAAACGTTTGTTTGAAAGTGAATGTTACAAGTTCGGACTCGGATTTTTTTTTTTTTAGTTAAAATAGAAGTAGAAATGATCATAGTGAAAATTGTAAGAATACTAATTTGTAAAGAAAACAAATGATTGTGACCTGAAATGAAAATGAATTCATAATGGGTTGAAGAATAAGAAAGTGTCCTATAATACGTGTTTACATCTATCAAAAATTTTTCATCCACCTAATAAAAGGTGGAACTGAAACCTCTGGTATAGAATAAATCCAGAAGAAAACTTCATCTCCTGTATTGCAGTTATGGTGATTGAGAAAAGTGCCCTCATACAGAAATATCTCCTTTATATTGTTGTTTAAATTGTCTCAAGCTTATTTAACTCTGAAATTTCGTTTTCAAAGGTTTTGCTAGAGATATTCAATGTTGAAAATAATATATTTTTGTTTTCGAGTTTCGAATCATCAAGTATTAAAAAAAATATTTTGGTCACATTATTATTTGTAAATGAGAAACATCATTTCAGAAACATCTTCATGACAAGA